TGCACCACAGCCCACATTTGGTCTCACTTTGGAGAGGGTGCATCAAAACAGGAGGCGTCCACAAAGGACCCGTGCCCTTTGAACATGCCTGGACAGAATGTTCTTTTCCAATTTGAAGAGACACCCAGATTCGTTTTCCAATTTAGATCCATCCTTGGCGTGACATCTAGATGATCAGCGGAAATGAATGGCGTGGGGTTGATGTCATGTGTGACATTCACGGGTCCCCACCGGGAAATTTGCCGACATCCTTCGATGCCTTTTCAGGTGCAGGCCACCATGCGCGGCCTGGAGTGCGATGTGCAGCGGGGCGAGGGCCTGTTGGTGAGGACCACCTTGACCAGCCTGGAGGCACATCGTTTTGGCAGAAAGGGATGTTGCTAGTGTTGGGATTCGCAGTCCAATGAATGAATTGCCGCATGGTGATAATCCTTGATTCAGATACTGGAAAACTACTGGACCAGACAGCTTGGGGGGGATAGTGCAGTATTGTTGAACCGCATCCAATTGTTTCGTAGGGTCTTGTGGTTCTTTTCCAGGGAGCAACAACACCAGCAACGTGCCCGGTTTCAAGCCCCAGGTTCCGAATTGTTTCAAAACTGACAAAGCAAATCAGCTTTCCTCTGGGCCAAGGTGTGGCTTTGTGAGCGCTTGCTGCTGGCGCCACGGCAAGCAGATTTGCCACTACTGCAGGCCCAGCTGACGCGGGGTCCACAGGCCGGGCTAACATGCTTGAAATTCTATTTTCCTTGGTTTCCTTTTAAAGCATGGCAGGTCGCGGACCCCTCTTGCAGGGACAAGGATCCCTTGTCAACGGATCGTTACATGTTCAAAGACGGTGATTGGCCCAACGGCACCCTGCCAGGGGACCTCACAGTCGCAAGCCTATGACCTGCACGTGGCCTGGGCCCAGATTGCCTTGGTCTACCGGCAGCGAGACTTCGAGCGCATCGCGGGGCTGTGCCACGAGGAGGGGCCGTATTCTTCGGTGCCATCTGGTTTGACCTTGAATTTTTCAATTTGTTGGGAAAAGGTATGTTTTCCCACCAACCCTTGTTTGGGCAAGGGGAAACAGCAACAGCCATGGCCTGACCATGGCACAGGAAGTCACCAGCGCAGCCAAGCACACCCATTCAGAGCCCAAGTCAGAGGCGGTGTCCAGTCAGGATGCGCTTCCAGAAGTGGCGCAAGGCAGCCAGGAGTCAGAAAAGGCCAGGAAGTTTCAACTGACTTATTGCTTTGACATCGATGCTCCGCTGCTCTTCCTTCCGGCAAGTTCTGGCAAGAAATGTGATGCTGACCGCAGTTCCACCGGTGGTCTGAGTACTGATGCTGATGCAGTGCAGAGCTCTCAGCGTAATTTCCATCCACTTCCTGACGAAGGTTTTTTGGTTCTGGATTTGGGGAACTGCTTGGTCGAGTCTCTTTGCCGCTCTTGATTACACTTTGGTCCTGTGGTGCTCTTTTTTTGTCGTTGGTTGATGGGAGAATTGAGAGGACAACCTCCCAAATTAAGGCGGTTTTTTTGGGGGTAAACCGAGCCCTTTGTTTCCTCCAAATAGACAACCCTGGTTAGTTTGCTCCTGCTTGGGGTAGCTGACCGCGCACCTTGCAAAGGTCTGACCTCGCGAACGCGGGTTCGGTGAAGATTTCGATGAAGCGGCTCCAGGTGGGGCCTAAAGCTGGATTTGGAGCCCTCAAGATGGTGAGGGTTTCCTTTTGTTTCTATTTGGGACCCATCTTTTGTGTGACATGTGGATGGTCAGTCCCAGGGGGTGGGATTGCACAATTCCAAACTTTAGAGCCTCCGGCTCAGTCCGCCGACATTGTCCTCTCCCTTTTCTCCTTCTTCCTCTCTCCCTTGTCTCCCTGGTGTGTTCTGTCGTCCTCTCTCCCTCCCTCCGCTCCCCATCCTCCCCATCCCCCAAGCCACTCTCTCCCCAATCTCCCTCTCTCGTATGTATGTATGTATGTATGTATGTATGTATGTATGTATGTATGTATGTATGTATGCATGTATATATGTATGTATGTATGTATGTATGTATGTATGTATGTATGTATGTATGTATGTATGTATGTATGTATGTATGTATGTATGTATGTATGTATGTATGTATGTATGTATGTATGTATGTGATGTATGTATGTATGTATGTATGTATGTATGTATGTATGTATGTATGTATGTATGTATGTATGTATGTAATGTATGTAATGTATGTATGTATGTATGTATGTATGTATGTATGTATGTATGTATGTATGTAATGTATGTATGTATGTATGTATGTATGTATGTATGTATGTATGTATGTATGTATGTATGTATGTGTGTAATGTAATGTAATGTAATGTAATGTAATGTATGTATGTAATGTATGTATGTATGTATGTATGTATGTATGTATGTATGTATGTATGTATGTACTGTATGTAATGTATGTACTGTATGTAATGTAATGTAATGTAATGTAATGTAATGTATGTAATGTAATGT